ATGCCTGGCTTCAAAGGAGAGGGCCCAGAAGTGGATGTGAACCTGCCAAAGGCTGACATTGATATTTCTGGCCCCAAAGTGGACATTGATGCCCCAGATATGAATATTGAAGGTCCAGATGCAAAATTGAAGGGCCCCAAGTTCAAAATGCCGGAGATGAACATCAAAGCTCCCCAAATCTCCATGCCTGACCTTGACTTTAACCTGAAGGGCCCCAAAATGAAGGGTGATGTGGATGTTTCTTTGCCCAAGGTGGAAGGTGACTTCAAGGGCCCTGAAATTGACATCAAGGGCCCCAAATTGGACATCGACACTCCTGATATCAATATTGAAGGCCCAGAAGGAAAATTGAAGGGCCCCAAATTTAAGATGCCAGAGATGCATATTAAAGCACCCAAGATCTCCATGCCTGACTTTGATTTAAATTTGAAAGGGCCAAAAGTAAAGGGTGATGTGGACCTTTCATTACCTAAGGTGGAAGGTGATCTAAAAGGGCCAGAGGTGGGCATTGAAGGTCCTGAAGGGAAACTCAAAGGTTCCAAATTTAAGATGCCTGATGTCCATTTCAAAACCCCACAAATCTCCATGAGCGACATTGATTTGAACTTGAAAGGACCTAAGATAAAGGGAGATTTGGATATTTCCATTCCTAAACTGGAAGGAGATCTGAAAGGCCCCAAAGTGGATGTTAAAGGGCCTAATCTGGACATAGACATGCCTGATGTTGACATTCATGGCCCAGAAGGGAAACTGAAGGGTCCCAAGTTTAAAATGCCAGACTTGCACCTCAAGACACCCAAGATCCCTATGCCTGAAGTGGACCTGAATCTGAAGGGTCCCAAGGTAAAGGGTGATGTGGATGTGTCTCTGCCCAAAGTGGAAGGTGACCTAAAGGCCCCAGAAGTTGACATCAAGGGCCCCAAAGTGGACATCGACGTCCCAGATGTGGATGTTCATGGCCCAGACTGGCACCTGAAGATGCCCAAGGTGAAAATGCCCAAGTTCAGCATGCCTGGCT